TATTAGAATAACAGTTTAAAGTTTAAAAAGAACAGATATATACACATAAAGCGAAATTTATATAAAAACTTAAACAATTAATGTACTAAAATTTGTTTCGGTATGTTAGTAATTTACTTATTGTCTATACAAAAAAATTTTTTACAATATCAAAATTTTTAGATATTAATAAAATTACTGCAGTTGTAGTATTGTAGATACATGTAACAATTTAATTTTAACAAAATAGTTTTTTCAAGAAAAAACGAATTCTTAAATTTTTTATTATAAACATTTAACCTTATAAAAGAAATATATCTTTTAAGCTATAATTGAAAAAGAGCAATGAATATTACAGAAACTATATAGAACAATTTTTTTTAATTAAAGGCCAATTGAGCTTTTTTTAAAAATATTTTAGAACTTTTTTTAAAAAGATTACTACTCCTCAAATACACCAGGAGCTCAAATTTTTGGCACTAAACATTTAGTTTTAAAAAATAAAGTTTTTTTAAGTATTTAATTTATTATATTTTTTTCTGATTCATTAAAATGAACAATCTTGTAATTAAGTTTATATTAAAAATGGATTTTTGCGAATTTTTTATATAAGTATTTTTCCTCTTACTAAAGTATAATCAACAGTATGAGTAGAAACGTGTCATAAAGGGAGAAAGTAAATTATAAAACAAAAACATTATTTTGTAGAAACAGCAGCCATCAAAGCATTTAGTTTCGCATTCTCCTTCAGACCCCTGCTTTTTTGACACCCGTGACGGGCCAGTTGCACGAATGTAAGTTTTTTCAAAAAAAAATTTTTTTATACCACTGTCTACGATGTAAAGGGGGACAAAAAGACCTTCCTAACTCATACCTTTAGACTGTTTCACTGATGAATTAACTTTTATAATTAATAAAAATGTGATTTTGTTTGTTTCTTGTATTACTAATTTGTTTAAAGCTTTGATAACTAGAGCTAAAAATGGAATGAAAATATAAGTAATAAATTATGCTTTTTGCATAATATTACTAAAATTTTAATCTATTTAAAATTTAACCTTTTGTTAAGACCCACAATCGTAAAAAATTTAAAATTTTTTAAAATAAGAGGAAGGTAGAAATGCAAAATTGTAGTGATTATAATAAAGTAAACCAAGACAACTCTAGAACAGGATTCTGGCAAAAAAGTAATAAATAAATTAAATTTTAGTAGTATTTAAAGCATGTTAGAAAAATACTTTGGGTGGGCCCATCCTCGCGGGCATGATATTTTAAAATACTATTTTAATATTGTTGTAGCCTCTAGTAAGGTGTCCAACTTTAAGTGTCGTTCTTTATAAGAACAAATAAATAATCTTTTCTTTTTATTAGCCTTATAGGGATTCTTTAACCGTAAACATCGTTTTTATGCTTTTAATCGTGCTGAGCTATTCATGTTTCATTTTTTTATTTTGTATATCCCTTCTTTTTTTATTTTTTATATCTTTTTTAGCTGATCTTGTACCAGATTAAAACATAAATTAAAATTTATATATATAAGTATTCTAGTTCTTATTATATCTTAGTGGAAATGATGATGACATATCTCCGTTTAAAACATAATAAAATATGTTTCATCTTTAAATCACAATTCTCAACACTTTTTCTAAACTTGAGAGCTTTGCCAGCCAGTATCATTGGATTTTTCTATTTTATTTTTCCAAGGCATTTCCTTTTATTTGTCTAAAATTAATAAAAATTTGCAGTGGCTTTATAAACTAATTTGTCAATTTTACCAATTGTCCCCTCGATAATTTGCATGTTCTAATATATAAAAAGTTTGAATGATACCATACACCTTGTGAATACAATAAATTATTAATATCTAAACACGTAGATACAATATATTTTTAAATTTATTAATGTAGCACTTTCACTTGATTTACAGTAGCAGAATTAAAAATTTGAATTTTTTACAAAAAACTTAAACAAACATATAGTTTCATTTCTTAAAAAACCAATTTTATATTTTGCCATAGCCTCCTATGACAAAAAAATCAAATAAATAAATTTTATTCTAAAAAAAGTGAAGACAAAAATTAAAAGGAACGAAAATGTCGAAGGAAAATTTAGTAAAGCCTTAACATAGCGCATGGAGATTAAGACTTCCGCTAAGGTATGGAACAAACAAAAGCATTAAAAGTATTATTGAAAAATATCTTTTGACTGGGAGATATCTTATAGGGCATGGCATACCTTAAATGAATTTTTAATTTGATTTTAAGGGTTAATTAACGAATGAAGAATTTTATTTGCGCAATTTAAAAAAGTAAATTTTACCCGAAAATAAAAAATAGGATTTTTAAATTTTTCTTTAAAATATAAAATTAAAAGTTTTCTAGTCTTTATGTTAAGGGAGAAAATTTTTGCTTAGGCTCAGAATATAAAGTTGAAAACAGCCAAAAAAAATTACACAAAAATTCAATTTACGTCCTTCTTATGTCTCTAGAACAATAAAAGAATATGAAAAAAAGGAACATTCATTTGAACATAAGGCTTTGGTAGAAAACTTTATTTACCTACAGTGATTTATTATATCGTAACAAGGAAATTATACGGGACCAATTAATAGGCTCAATTGAGTTGGCAGAAAAAGTTTTTAAATAAAAAAAAGAAAATCCTTTCTAGAACTGTTAGGAAAAAAGTTAATTGATTTGGGTAATTAAGGCAGGAGAAGAGCATGTAAACCATTTTTGTTCAAAAAAAATATTTAAGATAAAATAAGACTAGCAACAACATGGTATTACTTAGTGAAAAATAAATTTAAATGTATTATATGGAGTTTTAAATTTAGAATATTATTGTTTGAATCAGATGGAATAGTTAATTGCCGCCAAAAAGACGGCTTTTGGTATGATTTAAAAAATTTAACAGCTACGATTAAGCATGCTAATTGTTCAATAATTGTTTAGGGATGTTTTCGGAGAAATGTGTTAGAAATATTCTCATAATTGAAGGCAAGATGGATAGTTATAAATATACTACAATTTTTAATGATAATTTATTTAAAAATGCTAAAAATTTAAATTTAAAATTTTTTTTAATTCTAATAGGATACTAATCCAAAGCGCACATCAAAGCTTGCAAGAGAACTTTTTGGATTAAAAAATAAAATAAATTGAATATCCATCTCAATAACCTGATCTAAATCCAATTGAGAATCTATGGTATGTTCTGAAGCTAAATCCAATTGAGAATCTATGGTATGTTCTGAAGAAAAATGTTAATTCTATACGATATGAATAAATATTAAAGAATTAAAAGTTGCTGTAGTAGAAGAACGTAATATAATCCAAGGAGCTGTGCCAAAATTAGTTTTAGGACCAAAAAAAAGATATAAAGCAATAATTGGGGCAAAGGTGGTCATACAAGTATCCTATAAAAAGTTTTATTTTTATTTCCATATTGTGGTATTACAACCACATGTTAATTACATTTAAAAAATTTACTATAAAAACAATTCTAAATTTAATGCGTGCCTTTTATAAAAAAACTCTAATAAATTATTAAATAAAAATGTAAGTTATTTTAAAACCCTGCAAGGAACAGACGGCAATGAAAAAGTCTTAAGCTTATTAGAAAATTACTTAAAGCCTAGTCGCATTCCTTTGCGGCACGCTACATATAAAATCTACTTTTATCAAAATAACCTAGCTATTTGATTATTAAATATTAAAAAAATTATAGATAAACTTAAAGTGTATTTAAAAATATGCATTAAACCTTAGTTATAATGATTAAAAGTAAATAGACAAATCTAGGAAGAAAGAAGTTCTATTATTTTTTTCGTTACTGTGTACGAATTACAAAAAAGTATTCAGATAGCTGAACAGTATTTTACTGGAATTAAAGGAAGTTTGGTGGCAGCTTCAACAAAAATCTAAAAGACAATATCCTCATTAGAAAGATTTTGTAATTCTAAGAATAATACATGGAGCCAAACAGCTTGACCAAAATAAAAATATCATCCATAAACAATTGCGGAAAGAGTTTTTTATTGTCATAAATGCAGCAATTTCAATATTAATTTCTATTTTTTGTAGGCAAAATTGAATTTTATAGTATTTAAAATTAGGATTATGTTGTCAAACAGTTTAGTGTACAGTAGTAGCCATAAAAAATGTAATCTTTTCAAAACCATGTAATATTTTTAGTAAGACAATATTAACTTACAAACTAGATAGTTTACACAAATGTATAAATGTTTTTTTTTCAAAACTAATGATGGGAAGTTCGTATGTATATGTTAATTTATAATTAACTAAAAGTGCCGTTCAAAAATCGCAATTTTTAATTTAAATTTTTTTGTTATGCTTTTTTAAAAGATAAAAAAGATTTAAAATTTAAACCCATGGCAGAAAAGCTTTCTCTGGATGAAAAAATTGGGATTAAAATGTATTTAAAAAAAGGATGAAACAATTGTAAAATGCTGAAGAATATGAAGTACATCTTTCAATCATCACACGATTTAAAGTAAAACTAAAAAAGATGAATTTGTAAGAAAAAGATTGAATCATGCAAGTCCAATATTCTTAAAAATAATGATTTAAAATCTCTGAGGATTATAAAATTAGTAGCACAAAATTGACAGAAGATATTAAAATAGAACGTGAAAAACAATATCTGCAAAATAAAAAAAAATTATGTGAATGTGACTTTTTTGTTGGGTTTCTTGTAAAAAAAACAAATTGCCAAAAAATATTAAGGCAAGATTGAAGTGGGCTGAAAAACATGCTTCGCGGTGGAATGAAATATGGACCAGTAAAATTTGGTGTGATGAATCTAAAATAAATCTTTATTGATTTGATGATAAAAGATGTGTACGAAGAAAAAAATACAAGATATTATAAAAAAAATCTCCCTCCCCCAATTGTTAAGCATGAAGATGGCAGTATCATAGTATGGGCCTGTTTTTCAGCAGATAGTGTCGGAAATATACATAAAATTGGGGGGAATAATAAATTTAAGAGAATATGCAAGAATTTTAGACACAAATTTGGCATGTTCAGCCAAAAAACTTAAATTGAAAAATTATATTTTTCAACAGAATAACGGTTCCAAACATACAAGCAAGCATGTGGGTGAATATTTAATAGATTGAAACATTAACACTATGATTTGGCCTGCACAATCACCCGATTTGAATTATCTTTAGAATTTATGGTTAATTGTTGAGATTAACGTTGCTAAAAGATGACCAAAAAATTAATTACAGGTAGAGCAATTTACTATTGAATAATAAAATAGAACCAATAAAAAACGTGTTTAAGATTGTTTCAAAGCATGAACAAACGTTGTAGTGCTATTATTGATGCAAGGGGGGGATATACTAAATATTAAAAAATTTATTGCGTTTTTTTGTCCACATTTTTTAAAAAAAAGTTTTTTAAGGCATTTTTATGACGCAAATTTATAATAACAATAATAAATAGATCTAAAAATGTAATTTTTATATGTAATGTAAACTTAATGCAATATAAAAAAGTTCTATACATTTAAATTAAAATTGCGTTTTTTATGACCACTACTGTAAGATTCTTCTGTTTTTCGTTCTAGAAAGCAATAAAATAAAATATCGGAAACATTTGTTGATTAAAAACTGCATTTTTAATATAAATTTAAAAAAAATAAGAAGAAGATGGCTTTAAATTTCCATCCATAAAAATTTTTAATCTATCATTTCTACAAATTCGACATTATAACAACTCAATTCGTTCCATAATAATTTTTTTTCTCGTTAAAAAACATTATTAGAGGTATTTATTACTATCCTGCATAGTATAAAAGTTATATTAAAATAAAATGCAAAAGAGTCAAGTGTTTATACATAAAGATTTCTCTTTATTCTATAAATAAAAGATCTCACAAAATCAAAGATAGAAAATTGTTAAGAAATATAGTAGTATTCTGATATCTATTACACAATTCAACTTTTGTATTATTATACACTTCGATGCATAGTGCAAGTTTTTGTGCAATTATAGAATCTTTTATACAAAATTTAATTGTAAATTTTAAATAACTTTTAAATAATGGAAATGACTATACGCACTGTTAATTGCTAAAAGAAGCACAAATTATATTTAACACGCAACATTTTGTTTATAAGCACCGTTAACGAACTCCTTTACCATAAAAAAAAATAAAATTGTTTATTACAGAAGTTTTACTGCTTAAATACTAATAAATTTATTATTATAATAATAAATTATTTTTATTGATTAATTTTTATTAGAGAAACTTCAGCTCATCAGATTTATATAAGCCACACACAAGTTTTTCAGATAATTTTTTACATCACAGCTATTTGTTTCTTAAATCCTCAACTAATCTTTTGTATCTTCTTGTTTTATTTTTTTTATTTATACTTAATCTCCTTCTCTTAAAAAAATCCCCTTTCCTCAATCTCAACACAGCGCATTATCGGTGCTAGCATGCCACAAAGGCTTTGTTGGTAGGAAGATGTATTAATTTCCGTAAGGATTTTACAGAGAGCCGACAACTGGTGGTACGATACCAGACCAGGGTTTAACTGGGTCTTGTGGTCAAATAAGGCGGTATGGGTATAATGACCGTGATTGTCTCTCACCATCCCACGCGAAATGCTAGAGCTTCACTGGCTTGCTACGCCTTTCCCAGACAGGTCTTCTGATGTAATTTCTTACCAAAGGTCTCCGACTACGACCTGCAAATGCTTAAACAGCTAAGGCAATTGTCGTGTCGACCCAAAGATATTATGCCTCCTCTACATCTTTAAGGACATTTACAACCCTTAGTCGACTCCTACAGAAAAGCTTACGATACGACTTTATCGACAAATATTTTGTGACAATTGTTGTGTAATGCCAGGTTATTACTTAGCGAATTTGCACTCCTCGGATTTAAACTCATAACCTTCAAGCATCGGGACGACTAATTATCCATTCGATAAAATTTTCTCGGTTTGACATTACAGATAAGTCTAAAAAAATAATTTTTCTGAGCAAGTGACGTTGGACAGCTGGCAAAAAACTTCTAAACTTGCCCTATTTGGACCTCACAAGAATTTTTATTTTTAGACATAAAAATAGTTATAGCGTGTACATAAAATTGGTAATCGTTTTGAAACCAACTTAAGTTATTATTTTATTTAAAAGTACTCGATTTTATACAAAATGTTTTAATTTACTTTAGTTACTATGTTAAGAATAGAATTGCATATTTTAAAAGAGAATAACTTATCGAGTTTTTTATCAATAACACCTTTCCTGCTAAAGTTTAGGCCCGGAAACAAAAAAGTAATTAAAATAAAAGCAAAAAGATTTTTATGTTGCTAAAGAAGCGAGAGAATTAAATTATGAAGTTGTCGAGGAACAATAACGTTTTATTTTATAAAATTTTGATAATTTTCTGACCCATGCAGGAAAAAAACAAATCAAATATTAGTATTATTGATAGAAATCGTCGATACATAGAAATTTTTAATCCGATCCAAAAATTTTCTTAAAATTTAAGCTGAGCTGCGCATGGGATGGGGTCTTCTTCTGGCTGTGACATCTCCTACGTTACAAAAATTATCTTTAAGTGAAAAATTTGAAAGAGATATTTACTTTGAAATGGGCAGAAAACAAAAAGAAATTGCAAAAAAGATCTCGACAAGCCAGTAAACAGTGTCAAACTCAAGAAAAAATTAATAAAACGAAACAAATTGAAAGACAAGAAAATCTGGTAGACCTTCATTAATTAATAGTATTGATATATCCTATTTGAAAAAAAAGCCGAGCTACAGATCGGTAATATTAAGCTTGCTGCGAATTTTAAAAAAACTACAAAAAAAATATATCCGATCGATTTATAAGAGATAATTTGTGTAAAATGAGATTACATGATAGGATTACATGTAAAAAACCATTTTTGTCCAAAAAGCATATTTTGAAAAGAAAACATTGGGAAGCAAACACACTTGCTACTTTGATAAAAGATGGAATAAAATTATTTTTAGTGTTGAAACGATAAAAACTTATTTTGATCTGATGGAAGAGTTTATGTGCGAAGAAAAGTTGGTCGAGGATATAATAAAAAAATTTTAAAATACAGTAAAACATGGTGATGGTAGTATCATGTTTTGGGCATGTTTTTTTCGACAGCGGGTGTTGAAAATATATGTATAATTGGTAGAATAATGAATAGATACACATCTTGCGCCTTTCGTTAAAAATTTAAATTAAAAAACTATATTTTGCAACAGGTAATGATCTGAAATATACGAGTAAATGTATTAGAGACTCTTGTAAGAGAAAAAAAACTGACATTAGATTGACCTGCACAATCACCAGATATGAATCCTATAGAAAATCTATTTCATATTCTTAAGTTAGAAATAAGAAAAAGGAAACCAAAAAATATGAAAGAATTAAAGAAATGTGTTGAAAAAGAGTGGAATAAGATAGAATTAATGTGTGTAAAAAGTTGGTAAAGAGTATGAACGTTAGATGGAATGAATTATTAAGAGCCAAGGGTGGACATACTCAATTTTTAATAAAAATATTTCTTTTTTTGCCACTTTTTTTCCATTTAACTAATAAAAGCATTGTGTTTGAGTAATAAATAAAATACTTAAGTAGTTAAAAATTTTTGTAAGCCTTCTAAAAAAAACAACAATTTGTCATATTATAAAATTTGTTATTGCAAAATTTAATTTACTACTTTTTGTTACTACTAATATTTTAAATACTAAACTAAATATGCTTGAAGATTATAATACTTATTAGTTTATTTTTTTTAATTCGTTTTAAGATAAAACAAAGGTAAGTTTTATTATAGAATGTAAAAACGTGTAATCAATTAATTATTTATAAAATATATTAGTTAGATTCACTACATTTATATTCTTTATCAATACTATCCATAATGTTCTTTAAAGGGGAAATTAACCATTTAATATCTGTAGACAAATGTGTCACAGAATTAAATAACATACGTAAATTATAATCTATATTTAAAATAGCATAAGAGCACTCTAAACCTTCAATTAACATTTTTATAATTATAACGATACATTCTAATTGTACATTTTGTGAAATATTTGTTATTCTTTGTGAGATATCTTTACATTCATTGTAAATTAACTTAAAATTTCTCTCTTGCAGTTTAGCAGCTAAAGTAAAAGACAAAAAATATTTTACCACTTCTTTTAAAAACATATCGCATTCTACTATTAATTCTTTTATAGATTCACATGAAGATTCTTTAAAGAAAGAATTGTCTTCTATCTTTTTTATTTGATATTCAACACTATTATTTAAACTTACTTTTCTCAAAAAATAGAGCCTTTTGTCTTTTGACAACTTAGATATAAATTTTTTGTCTATATTTACATAAAAGAAATCTTTTTTTGAAATTAAAAATTTCTCATTTTTGGCTTTGTCAAATGAAGATTTAACATGACCTAGAACCTCTCTACAAAAATCCATTAATAAATCTAAATTTGTCATTTGTTGATTATTGGGTTGTACTGTTTTATTTTGAAATACAAGATTGTAATTTAAATTTTTTCTGGCAATTTTATATGCATTAAATTTTTCGATATAAGTATAATAAAACTTAATCAATAAATTTTTCTTATCTTCATATGTTGTAATCTCTTCACATTTTATATTATCATTTTGGCCTTTACTTTGATCATTTATCGCCTTATCAGAGTTTAATACTTCATCATATTGTTTTTGAGATTTAAAACGGCTAGATGTACTACTATAGTATATATTTGGACTAATTTGAAAAATTTGTACTGGATGCCTTGCATTTTCAGAAGTTATACATTTACTATTATTATCTAATTTAAGTTTTTTTATAATAGGGTTTTCAAGAAGTTCAATATTTGTAATGTTGTTATTATCTTGAACGCATTTGAAATTCACTGTATCAAAAAAGGGATTATCCTCGACAGAACCTTGTGTACTTTTAGGCCGTGATTCTTTTTCTAAACCCAAAGTGTTTCCAATGATTTTTTCCAGCTTATAGTTCCCTTGCTCTGAAAATTGATTTGTGCTATTGTTGCCATTTAGAATTTGATCATATTGATATTTATTTTTTGCCTTATTTTCATTCATATCACTTGCAACAGATTCCGTAGTATTGATCGATTCATTATTTGTTGAGGTACATATACCCGTAAAAAAGTAAAAGAATTTAAACATTTTGAGGGGTATATTCTAAAATTTATATTTGAATTAAATTTTTCAATCATCTATAATTAAACTAATTAAGATTTTCAAAAACTTTTTATAAATATAATAAAGTGAACGTTTATGATTTATAAAAATAATCTTATTGTCATGATACAATCTAGCATATGATTTATCAGTAAATATGTATTTGTTTGTTTTTTCTATATCTGTTAGCAAACTTTTTTGACTTTACATTATAAATATTTGATTTATTTTTCTGGAAAATTTAATTAAAACTACAAATTTAATTAAAAATAGAAATTTAAGGTGGTATGATTTCATAAAAAAATAAACAAAATTTAAAAAAAATAAGTAAATTAAAAGGATTTTAATTAAAAAAGAATTTAGAAAAATCCTTACAGTAGTTAAACTTAAAAACGACCATGTCACTGTTGAGAATTGTGATTTTAAGATGAAACATTTTTTTACATATTTTAAAGGTGTAAATATGTCATTACCATATCTACCAAAAATATTAATAATTATAATACTTTCAATGCATAAAATCTAATAAATGTTTTGATCTGACACAAAATCAGCTAAAAAAGATATGAAAGAAAAGCTTACTAAATAAACATGCCAAATGAAAACTTATTTAATAATCACTTTAAGACATTTCATAAATAAAGACAAAAGTAATAAACTGACCCCAATTTATTTTTTTAATTATTGCTTCATCCTTTTCATTTATTTATTAAATATTTTCGAGCTTCAGAATAAAAAAAGTAAAGCGTTAGCAATATTATCACTACTTATTTAAAAACTTGCGCCATAAATAAAAGTACTTTTCCTAAACATTTTTTTAAAAATTACAGCGGACTAACAAAACAGTTAGTTGATGCTCGACATTTAATAGACCAAGTCTACCCTATTCTTCGCCGGGGGACTAACGGAAACTTTTATATCATATTAATTTTTCAAATTTTAAACTTTTTATGCGATGAAAAAAGCAAGATTAGATTTAATAATTAAAGCAGATAAAAGCGAAACGTCAACTTTATTTTTTAAATGAGATTTAATCAGAGATAAATAGGCTTATAAATTTTGCCATAAAAATATGCGCCTCATGCATAATTCTAAACTAACTGATAAGTTTGAGTGGAGATGCTGCTTTTATGGTTGTCAGAACTACCAAAAAACCACTTTCTGCGATCCAATTCTTGTCTTTACTCTTTCAAATGATATTAAAACAATACATAAAGCAAATTAATACTATACATATGTTGATAATTATTTTAAAATCATTAAACATTTAGGCATTGATAAAGCTTTTTTAATCAAGCTACAAAACATTATTATTAAACGAATTGCTATATTTTTCACTGACAACTCTATTAAACTGAGAGGTCCTAAGATTATTGTGCAAATATATGGAACCATGTTGAATTATAATGTTAAGTGTCATAGAGGTAAATCTTCAAAGGCTTGTTGAAGTTTCAGCATTGTAGATACATCATTTAAACCTACGTTAGGATATCTGCTATTGTAGAATTTAGACTGCAAGCGTTCTTATTTCTATAAAAAATTCTATTGTTAAAGCCGAAAGTATTTTACACTTTGATGAATAGAAAGATTATAGAAGCTTATCTAACACAGATGATTAAAATTGTTACACTGTTTGTCATAAATACAATTTTTTAGACTCTTTTGCGGCGTGCAACTCAGCACGTAGAATCTTACAATTACAGGCTTAAGGCACAAATTTAAGCAAGAAAGGAAATAAATTTGGCTCAAAGAAGTGTGTTTTTATCAAAATTATGCTTAGAAGCTACATACTAATGAAAACTTTTTATCTTTTATCTTATATTAAAATGATTTTTTTTTCAACCAGTGGACAGAGAAAACCTAATTACAAACTGTGGGATTTGAAAGATCTGATCTTATTTAATATACTACAAAAATGATTAAACAAGAATTTAGAGAAAATTTGTGGCTTTGCAAAATTGAAAATTATAAGATAGAAAAATTTGTGCTTGCGGAAAAATTGAGATTCATTCTAAAGAACAAAAAAATTTTCACTCACACAAATTTAAGCAGCCTTTTTAAAGATTATGTTGACGTTTTAATAGTAAACGCTTTAGGCGTTGCACATTAAGAAGAGTTTTATACTTGTTTAAGAGGAAAAATATCATTTGCAGGCAACTTAATTTTTTAAATAATGCATCATGGAAAATTTATAATTGAAGGATTTGATATTATAATACTGGGTAAGTTAAAATTAAAGACAAATAAGTATATTATAGTCAATAATTTCTAATTATAGTTTAGTATTGTTTTCGGGGGACTTACATGTTCGTTTTTGAAATATCATTATGATGTAAAGCCAGAGAACTTAGGGTTGAGGAAGGTGTTGCTGAAATGATTTAAAAAATGTATAAATTTAGTAGCTAAAATCCTGTTATATTTATACACCACAATATTATAAAGGTTTGTAGAATGGAAAGTATTTTTTTACTGATAAATCGAAAAAAGAACGAGATTTTAATGATATACAGTAGCGGAATTGAAAAAGAAAATTTATTTTTTTTAAATTTATCTAATTATTTTTTTATTAATAACTAAAATTCAATACATATGCCTTAAATATATTTCCACATGTATTTTAATGCTTTGTTTTCAATTTCTAACCAAATAGCGGGTGATTATAATAAAATAAATTTTAGGTGAAAAATAAGAAATTTTTTATTAATAATTTGTATGACCCCTTTTCGCTTTAATTATCGCTTCATCCTTTTTTCAGTTCTAAACTAACTCTTGAAACAATTACATGCGTATATTTTTTCATTATTCTACTACAACAACTTTTAATTTTGAATATTTTTTCACCATCCTGCACTAACATTTCTTTTCAAAACACAATCCAAATTTTCAATTATCTTTAGATTATATGATTATAGTGCCATCTAATTTTTATATACTTTAGAATTTAAAAACTTTATTGTGAGCGTTGGATCATTATCCTGTTGAAGCAAAAAATTTTTGAATAAAATTCTTCAGCACTTTTAAATAAATTATCATTGAGAATTTTATTATTCTAAATTCATTTTACTTTCAATAAGGAAAATATTTCTGACTTCTTTCTGCGAAAAAAAATTTTAACCATAATTAAAACACCATGCAAAATATTCATTCGGCGGCAATAAACAATGCCATTTGATTCAAACAGTGATATTTTAAATCATCTCTTGATATAATACTTAAAGTAATTTTACTTTTTGTAATATCATTCTGTTGCTACAGTAATGTCAGAAAAGGGAATATTAAATTTTGCAATTACAAATTTTATAATAAGATAAATTGTTAGTATTTTGAGAGAACTTACAAATATTTATTTATAACTGCTTAAGTACTTAATTTAATTTTACAGCAAACACAATGCTTTTATTAGTTAAATGAAAAAAAAGTGGCAAAAAAAACAATATTTTTTTTTAAAATTTTGTATGCCCACCTTTCACTATTATTAATTTATTTCATCTACTGTTCATGCTCTTTACCAACTGTTTACACACTTCAACATCCATTTTATTCCACTCCTCTTCATAACATTTCTTTAATTCATTTATATTTTTTGGGTTTCTTTTCCTACTTCTATCTTAAGAATATGCCATAAATTTTATATAAGATTTATGTCTGATGATTGTGCAGGTTAATCTGAAGTTAAAATTTTTTTATCTGTCATAAATCTCTAGTTCTGTGGTATAAAACAACATTTTGTCTAACCTTATTTTGTTTACTTTAATATTTTTGATTAATTTATTGTTTAATTTATAATTTTTATTAATGAAGCAATTAACTGTTAAATTAAAATTCAATTTAAATAAAGTCTTACCCCCCCTCCAAAAAAAAGGAGAAATAGATGCCGATGAATGTGACGAACACCAGAGACGATAAACAAAATAACAAGATGCCAGCCCAAAGGGGCTTATTAATAAATAATTTGTTAGAACTATACTCTATGCAGTGTTCACTACCCTACAAAAACGCCAATTGTTAAAGTTAATTGTATCAAATAATTAGTAGAATCTTAACAAGTATCACAGATATTAGAACTTAAATTTTTATTAATGCTGTAATATGCTTTCATAAGGATGGAAATAAAAAAAGCCCTTGAGGACCTTATTTCTGGGCACATTTTATGTCCGAAAATACGGCCCTGCACCTAAATTACTAATACTAATAAATGCTAGTTTATTTATTTATTTTTTTGTAACCCCTAAATATTTCGGTAATTTTTGGACTCAACGTATTGATATTTTAATTTTTTGGGTTTTGTGGCATTTTATATTTTACTATAAATATTTCTCTCCCATTCAGAATTTTCTCTATACTTTGTTATTAGGTGTGCGGGTTATGCATATATTTGTGTATGTCTGACATGCTTTTAGGAGTATTTTACAATACATTTTTTTACAGAGTTGGGTATGTGTTTCAATAATTCTTCATTCACAAGGTCTCTTAAATTTTTAGTTCATGCACATTCAGGGACGCTTTCTATTTGCTATTCTCATTTCATTTAAGATAACATTTTTACTTAAAGATATCGTTCGTTGTTTAAATACTTTATCTTAAAAGATGTCAGATATTTTTTTAATCTTGCAGTTGATCTTTTATTGTAAATATATGATTAAAAATTTTATTTCTAAAAACATTTTTAAAGACTTTTTTACTTTCTTAATGTTATTCGTTAAGACATCTGTTATATTTTTTTAAACAGTTCATTTGTTGTCGAACTACATTCTTATGGCGTCATGTAAACATTCTTAATTTTACTTTAATAGCTTTATTGAAATAAAATTTGCCTTATGCAATAAAAGATTACAAAACATTGTTTTTATACTAAAAAAATTTTATGCAGAAAAAAAGGTTTTAAGATTTATATATATTTGAAGTTTAACAAACTTGTAGCAAAATAAGACATTAGGCCTGTTAAATAAAGTCAAATACATTAAGCACAAATATTTAAAGTTTTAACATATAACTAATGCTTCATATATCAATTAGTCATTTTTCAATCTGATAGCATTGTTAAATCCCTTTCTGGTTTTTTTTTATTTAATTTATTTTTTAAATCATCTGCTAAAAGGATATTCAAATTTGTATACAAACTTCCGATAAATCTTTGAACAATTTTAACAAGCTTGTCGTCTAAATTCTTAGATAAACTTAAATTGATTTTGATGTCATGAGGAATGGCAGAATATCTTCGTTTAGTATGATTCTTAGAAAAAATACGTTCATACGCTTCTCGATTTTTTAAATGCTTGGGTGGGACAGATACAGATGGTTGTTTTAAATATTCAATATAAACATCAAAATATAACTTTTACAATACTTTCTTGGTATTTTAAAAATACAATAAAAGCTTAGCCATAAACACAAAATTTTCTTTGATATTTAATGGTACATCAAAAAATAATGGGCATCTTTCAATGCAACATCAGTATTAAATTAATCTGACACATAATTTTTTAAAGAAATCTTAGTTAATGCATTTGAATGTGATTTAAAAAGAGCAAATATAAAAACTGCTGTAAATACCAAACATATTGATAAAATATACCAATTCATTATCGATAACATTAATGGGTAAATTTATATTTTTTCCATATATTACTCATAAAATGGTAAATCAAAATATTTTTTACATTCAATTCCTGTTCTTTAAAAGGTATAATTTTTTGTTATTATTTGCATTATATTAAAAAAAAGAAATTTGCTTTTCATTTAAATAAAAATTAAATTGCAATTTATTTTTATAAATTAGATATGTAATTTAGTTTTTGCGTGATCAAAAGGGATTTTATTAGAAAACATAAGTTTTTTTAAAAGCGTATATGTATAAATATTTCTTTCAAATTTCTTTTAATATATTAACACAAGGATATTTGACATATTAATGTATTCCTAACAATTTAATTAAATTGCAATTTTAATAAAATCAACTGAATAATATTAAAAAAAGCAAAGAACCAAAAACGAAATATTAAAACTACTATGGTGCTGTGGCCAGACATTTGAGCCCACTTTTGTGGGCTCAAATTTTAAAAATACATAAATAATAAAAACATTTACAAGTCTTTAAAAATGTAACACCTTAGTTTTGGTATCCAACCTCAATATGTAGATTATTTATGATACTCTTTGGTCGTACATAACACCGTCTTCGCGGAGGGGAAAATCCTGCATTCAACTTTTGAAGATTTTAGTGTGTTACTTCTTCTTTTTCAAGAAGCTTACATATCAATAAAATAAAATTGTGGTTAGAAGTTCCAAAAATACTTGCAAATGCACTGTGTCAACCTTTAATTTCGTTGTCTAACTTGGAATAATGTTAATTTAATATTCATTTATTGATTTTACATCATATATGGAAAAAATCACTTCATGCACATTAGAACCAATATAAATCGTGTAAAGGTATTAAGAAAATAAGCGTGATAGGCACGATGGAAAATCTAAATTGTTTCTAAGCTCATTAAATGTATCTTCCACAAAATTTCTATCTACACAAGATGATCCAACTAAAGATTTTACAAATTTTAAATACAATAGCCATATCAAGATATCTATAGTAAAAATTAAATTCTTTTTAGCTTTTTAAAAATGTTCTGCCTAAATGAAATTGAAAGCCAGAGCTTGAACTTCTGAAATTCCGGGAGTAAAGTTGGCATCAAAGCTAAAATAGAGCTTTTTCAAAGTCGGTTTTGACTAACTGCGAGGAAAATCTACTAATTAAAATAAATAGAACACAATACATTTCTTTATAATTATTAAGGACTTATCTCGGAGTAAAGCGTATACGACAGAAATGACATTAGAATTGTTTAAAGTGACAAAAGTAAATAATTTATAGTAAAGAGATAATACAACACTAAATTTACAAGCAACGCAAATCACAGGTATCTCTTGTAATGAACCAACTTTATTATGTAGATTGTTTGTTTAATCATTACAATGTGTTTGTGCAAACAAACCCTTAAGAGGATTTTATTTTACTTTCATTTATTAAAATGCTCTAGTACTCTTTGTATTTCTTTTATTTTACTCACTTGTTTGTTTATCAACTATAAAAACTATATGGAAGAGTTGTTGCTTGAAGGAAATCGAAGATGAAAACTAATAAGCAATTTAAAAAATCTACATCGTTTCATTTTTATTTGCAAAACACGACAGTTTGTTACCATTTTTTAATTTTTGTTACGACCTTAAAAAAATATCCGTTTTTTCAGTAGATTTAGATTATCTTAGCTGCTATACAATGTCTGGTCGCAATCTTACTTCTTCCTAGTAAAATACTAATTTGACTAAAGCTTTTACTTGATATGTAATAAGCATCTATTAATCATTTTTCACTGCAGGTTAAAAATTTTCCTTCGCTCATAAGGGCTAAAATTATTTTTTTTAAAAAATCTTAAAAACGTCCTCAAGTATACATTTTACAAACATTAATATTCCAAGATATCGTAACAAATTAAAAACCATTTTCAAATTTAATCAATTTTAGTATATGGTTTTACTTATAATTTTGTGTATAGAATTTTTTAGTTTAATTTAAAGCTAAATTAATTTTTTTAAACCCTTAAATTAATAATAAATTTATATAAAACCAAAATTCTTAAATGTTTTTAAGAATAAATCAGTTTATTTATATTTTAATTTTATACTGAATTTTGGCAACGGTCTTAACATCTTGACTCGATTTTTTGTTAAAAAAAATCAAAATTTCATAATGACCTATAATTATAATCAGGTTGATTTAAAAAATCAAAATTTTTACAGTTATTTAACATTTTATTTAAGCTTGATTTCTAATCTGATCTTTCTTATTTTATGTCGATTGTATTGATAAAAGTAGATTTTTTTATTGGGCTTAACATCTTGACGTGCACTGTACTTTGACTTTGTTGGGTGTTCAATTCCTACGGGAGCTTATAACAAAGTGTCAAATTGCCTTCATTTAAACTTTAAAGAAATATATCTTGCGTTCGTAAAAATTTAGCAAGTTGTATTCTTATAAATATATATATATATATATATATATTTCTATTGATTAATTTATTGAATAGTAGATTAAAAATCATTATACCGAAAAACAATTTTCTATACATATATAACACACTACCTAATAATGGTAATACAATACGATTAAAAATTTATAATAATATAATACAAAAATGCAATTAAAATAAAGATAAGTTTCAGTTTTAAAAAATAAAGACAAAAGATAGCCGCGCCCTGGGCGCGGATTCGCGACACTAAATGAAAAAATGTCATACAAAGATTCACAAATATTTCAAAACCCGTACAATTTGAATGTATTGTTTTGTTATAAAAATGCTTATTGAATTATTAGAGGGCTCTAACAGTTTTTTATAAAGAAAAAAAGTATTAATTTATGCTTTTAGAATATGCTACTCTTTTATCTTAAGGTATAAATTTGTTCATTTTCTTTTTAAAAGACATCATAGATGGTATTAATAAATAATATGAACTATAGATTTTAGCTAATATATTTTGTATAGTATAAATTGATTATAGCTTTTAAATATTTTATACCAAAGCTTAATTCTATTTTTTTCGTAAACCCAGCTCGCGTTCATGCTTGAGACACAGCCGTGAAAAAGTCGAAACATGGAAAAATTATCTTTTTTAATCTAAAAAAAACTATTTTAGGCATTGTAAATTACAAGGCTTATAAATCATTAAATTTTTAATAAGATAGTAATGTGTTTACTTAATTTTGTAAATATTTAATGTAGCTATAGTCAAAAAATGTCTGTGTGGCGATATAGTTCTAACTTAATTTTGTATTTAATTAAATTTAATTATTTTTTAAAAATGAAAAAAATTATTTGAATTATATTATTTTAATGTCAAAAACAAGCAGCATTTATATTTGTGGTATCTAACAAGATAAACAATTAAAACAAAAAGTAACCAATAAAATTAAAGTGCCGTACGAGTGTTTTTGTGGTTACTGAACGTATCTTAATTAATATAGTGTTTATGATTTAATTTATCATTTTTTTTATTAATCAACAGTTGCTTGTTTACAAAATAACAAAAATTATAAATAAAGACTTGCTCCTAAAAAAACAGCAGAAAGAAAATAAACATTAAGAATTTCAGCTAATATAAAGAGAAATATTAAACTGTAAATTAATCTATTATTAAAATTCGCGTTTTTAACATACTTGAAGCCTTTAATCAGTATGGCTTCGTCAGTATTATTTTTCAGCCGACGACACAAAGCTCGTCAAACGACTTAAAGATTGTTTTTGTGAACGATTACGTTTATTTCACTATTTTTAATTTGTTGTTTATAAATTTTTATCATCTAATTAGTATATTTTACAGAAATTTTAAAATTTACCCCATAAAATGTTTAAATTCTTCTATCTTTTTACAGGAATATATACTTCAACAAGTTTTGAATCAATCAATACGAC